CCCTGACGACTATGTTCCTAGCCCCGGTCCTCTCCCTCAATATCTCCCCTTTCGTCTATATGACCGGACCCTGAGTCCGACCCTGACCGTTTCCCTTTTTGGTTACATTACTTTACCCTGACCCAGACCCCGACCCTTGTTGCACCCCTTTCCCTTTTCGGTTATATTGCCCGACCCTGACCTAGACTCAGGACCCTGTCCCGTCTCTATCCCTTTTCGGTTATATCACAGGACCCTGACCTAGGTCTTGTACTATACTGGGCCCAGCCTCGACCAGACGCGTTTCTTTACAGTCTCCTCATACCTCCCCACTTTGGTTGGTTACCTTTCCCTTCCTAATACGGTCGGTACCCCATAGTATATAAGGAGGCCTGTAGTCGGTAGAGGCTCCCCACTTCTGTTCTCCTCTTCGTTACCTCCTGTATCCCTATATCCCTCAATCTAGGGACTTGTGCGATACTCTCTCCCCCGTGTGCTACACCGCGTACTTGGATAAGTCCGCGTGATAAGTCTGGATAGACTTGTGTTAGTACTTCAGTGTAACATACGTGTCACACTAACATCCCATGGTACTTGGCATGAGGTCAGTGTCGACGGCCACAAGAAGCTCAGTGACAAGGCGTTGCAAATGGGCATTGTTGGATTCCACATCTACGGCGGCCGAGATAAGTGGTCCGGCAAGGTCCTACTGCTTCTCGTGCTTCCAAACTCGCGGTTTGCAGAGGCAATTGGCCATGTCTATCTCGACTTTGTCATAGAGCATGAAAGTACGTGCTCCATCTTCTACTACCTAAAGTTCCCTAAACACTAATTTGGTTTATTATAAGTGATACCCATCCAGGTGACCTTTGACGGTGGCAGCGAGACTGCAGATATGAAGGCGATCCAGACAGCGTTACGGTATGTTGATTGAGGCCCTCAACTAATAGGTAATAAATAGCTAACGTGCTCTCTGAAGGAATACCTTTGCACCGGACCTTGACCCTAGCGAGTGGCCTCCATTCATGCCAATTCCGAGTACCCGTAACATCACCATTGAGAACCTGTGGTCCCGCTGGTTCACTCACTCGGGCGCAAACCTCCAGAAGGTCTTGATGGAAGGCAAGACTAATGGCCTGTTCAATCCTGGTGACAATGTTGATATGTGAGTCTCGTTTTTCACGTTGACTACTTCACATCCTAACACTTGGAATCTAGCAACTTGTTCCAGTGGCTTTGGTCCCAGGTCACACAGCAACAACTCGACGCTTTCAAGGCATACTAGAATTCTCATTGTTGAACCCGGGGGGCGAAGGCCTCTCCCACGGGTGGCAACGACAGCGGATAGCCTGCAACTCACCTAGAAGGGTTGGTTGATTGTAAGAGGCTTGTAAGAGCGATGAGAGGAGACGTTCGAGTGAACTGAACTGTAGATTGGGGGTACAGAGGTCCCCTATATATACTACTGTACATCTGTGGCTACATAGTACTATACAGTACCTTCCCAGGATGCACAGTCGCACAGAGAAGCAGTGCGTACACAGCGAAGCTGTGTGTGTACCACATGAGTAGTACAGCCTCGGTTATTGCAGTAACCGGCTGTGCCGTTTCATATCTTGTGACGGCTGTATTAGGCAAGCTGTGTAAACCAGCGCCTGTTCAACACTCCCCCTCGCTAAGTATCCGAATGGTTACGCAAGCGTAGCAGGCGCTTTAAGCAGCTCTGAACTTTGGGAAGCGGAGACCAAGTTGTGAGCGAAATTTCAAGAACTTCACTACACCAAGGTTCTTGGTAAAGATGTCCGCAGGATTGTCGTTTCCGTCTATATAGAAGACATCAACGATTCCTTTATCATGTACCTCACGGATATAGTGATATCGGATGTCAATGTGCTTTGACCTTGACTCCGTCACAGGATTCGATGCAATGAAGATCGATCCTTGATTGTCTCCGGATAGAGGTATGTGATCGACATGGTAGTCAAGTTCAGCAAGT